AAATTTCCATATATAATTTGCCCTTGTTGCACATCCCATCATTTTCTATCTTTATTCAAAAAAAAAAAAGAAAAGAAAAGAAAAGAAAAGAAAGAACGAACACGCAGAAGCGTGTCTGAATAACGTAATAAGGTAGTGGATTTTCCTTTAGAGGCATCTTGGAAAACAGATCCAAAGTCAGGCCATCTAGAAGCAGTAGTATTGAAAAAGACTTTTGGTGGGTAGTCAAAAGTGATTTGTATTTATTCTGACTCTTTCTCTAATAAACACTACCACCAAAAATTTAAAAATAGCAGCATAACACATAGTGCCTTTTTTTTTTTTCTAAGAATAGTCGATCTATTATTAACATTTAGCAGAGCCAAAATCCTTGTTTTACCTATGGAAATAAGTTAAGCTATCAAAAACATTTTCTCTACTTAAAACGAAACCTGGTAACTCTTAGAATTTAAGCCAAAAAGGAGATAAGGCAACATCATACTTCTGTACAGACCCATCAGGAAGTAGTGACAGCTGATACTCTTGCATGTTAAGAATATTAGTTTCTAACAGGAAGTCTATTAAACATTGTGAAACCTAACACTTCTCATAGACACCTTCAACAAGAGTTCTCCAAATTAAAAACAAAAAACAAAAAACTTTCTTTCTGTCACTCTCCAAACATTATGCCACTCTGGAAAAGAATCTTGAATTCAGAAGTCACAGAATGCTAGTGTCTCTATACCAACACTCATTTGATGGGAATCATTGAACGATATTTTACTTTAACCACAAAGAATTCTTAATTAAAAAAAAAAATAAGAGAGAGAGAGTTCTGCTAACAGGCATATAACCCACACATTTTTGTATACAAAAATACTTTGTGCAAAATTTAGATCAAAGAAATCCTAGAGGCAGCTTGAGCTAGGAACGAGCAGATCTTTCATGAATACTCACAGAATGAAGGGAAGTTCCACATTTCAAATCTTTCAGTGGCTAAGCCAGTTTAAAAGATTATTCCTCCCTGCTCTCCTCCTAGCGGTTCCCATCCTTCATTTTGCTAAATGAGCTGTGCACATGCATGCTACAACAACAGGACTGTAAAAAGTTATATGCAATAAAAGACACTAAATCAGCGCAACTAAGGAAGTTGTAGCTACCAGTAGGAAGTACATAGAATCACTGAAGTTGTGTTTATTATGTGCTTCCAAGAGCATGTACACTTTCCTTAGTTTATATGTCAAATTATTCTACTATTATTTAAGCTGCTGCCAGTAGAGCCTATAATAGATTAGTAAGAAACTGTAAACTATCTGCTCCCTCTTTTCACATTCAGTCTCATCACAAAGACCAAAGACTAGCATTTCATGCTTATTACCCTACTGCTCTTTTTACACCTCTTGTTTTGACCGAACAGCTTATATTTTTTGTGTATTTAATGATCATGGAGAGTTGCCATTTGTCAGCCTGAATAATCTGGTTTTTAGGTAGCCAAGCTATAGAAAGAACTCAGCCTTAGCCTGACAGTTATGAGAGTAACTTTCAAATTATAAGCTGAATATAGAGCAACGTGCCTTCCTGAAATAAAAGTCTGAAGACCAGAAAATGATCACATCTACCAACAAAAAGGTGTTAGCTTTGTAGCCTATCATTAACTTACATTAGCAGCTATTTTACAGTTGACTAAAGTAATATAGCAAGGAGATTATACAATCTGCATAATCCAGGAAGTATAAATTCTCATTTAGAAATGATAATGGACTACAACATGCTTCAAAATTAAAATTTAAGAAACTATTGGCACTTTCATTCATTTCTTTTATTCCCTCGCCTCATGTGAAATGATCAGGAGGGAATCCAATAGCACACAAATCTACTATATAAAGCTGAACTATGAAAACAGCTATTACGTGGGAGGCAAAATGAACAAACAGGTATAGGCTCCCAGAATGAGAAAGGATGAAATCAGCATCCACAGCTGAAGTATGATCAGTTCCTCAGGTGCGGGTATTTAGGCTGCTGCAAATCTAATTCTCCTTCTACAAAGGCCCTGAATAAGTAATTCACAAAGAACCACTAATGAGCTGTTGAGAAAGCATGATCAAAACGCTGATGAGATCCACAAAAAGGCAAGGCTGAACCAAAAATGAAGATTAGAATTTAATTCCCTGTGGGCCTACCATACTGAATGTTCCTAAAGTTTAATTCAGAGTTCTAAGGAATCACCAGAATAGCTGGAACAGTAAATTATGAGTTTTGCTAGCACTCTCTGATGAGGGGAAAACAAATAACGTACTTTGGTCAATAAAAACCAGTGTCACTGACACAGAGATCCTGTATAGGGACACACTTTGGCAGATTAAGTGTTCAAAAGTTATTTTCAGTGTGGTATCAACTGCCTTCTGCTAACACAAACCAAACTTAGATATTAAGGTCTTTCCCTCCCATTTAAAAGAAGAAAAAAAAAAAAAGGAGAAAGTAACAGATGAAGCATGGAAGACGCTCTTGTCTCAAAGAACAGACAACTGTGATCTCAGCTCTTTCTTAGGCAGGTAAAGAGAGAAAGGCAGCAACAGTAAGGATGGACAGTGTTTGGAGCGCAAACGTAGTACTTGACTTGAGGAAGGACAGAAACCTAAGCATATTACTGTCCTTAAAGCAGCATGTCCTACAAGGCAGCTGCTGATTTGTATCAGAGTTTAAAACTACATTGTAAGCACTCCTGAAAGTAAAGGAGATCTTGCTAGAGACCGTTCTGTAGAACGGTAGGAAGTGCTTGGAGAAATACTCATTAGCCTCTGTATGTGAACCTTAAAATATGACCTTTTTTCCATAGATAAAAATTGTAGAAAAGGCTTTGCTTCCCTTGTTCTCTCTTTTCCAGACCATTCTCAAAAAGAAAGAAATAGACACAAAAGCAGAATGACAGATCAAAGATTCCATACTTCCAATAGGAAGGGGGTGGTGTAGGGAAGGGA